ATGGTAAACTTAACAGACAATAGACTCGCAGTCGAGCAACAACATGAAAACCAGTTTATACTGTAGCTGTCATCAAAGACTTGAACAAGGATTACAAGCCTGACTGCAACCAAAGTCTCCATGACTATCTTGTAGTTAGGACTGATGCAATCTTCACCAACAATGCCTCTACCAAAAAGAGTTGGAAATAGGAACAGACTACAACAGTGTTATGATGACCCCAGGCTGAAAGAACTTAAGTCTATAGCCAGGCTGGTTGGTAAGGGTTACAAACAACACAGTAAACCTCAAATGCTAAAACTTTCAAACTTCCCTTACTGCAGTCCAGAAGCACGCAAATGTCAACAGCCTGAACCAACACCCACTCCTTAACAAACCTGGAAAGACATAAACACAGGTAAAAAACAGTCTGCACAACTCCCATCCAAACCCATTGCAGGGCAAACAGCACGACGAGTGTGATGTTTCTTATACTGTATTGTACTGAGTGGAAGCTGGATGCCACCCTCACCACGGGTAGATCCACTGCCTCTGATGAGGACGGAGTCACTTACAATATCGTTAAGATTACGAAGGCGTATGCCGGGCAATCCATTATTGGCATTTGTACAATATGAGTCATGCCAACTACCCACATCATTGACCAACAGTATTGTATGTAATGAATGTACTGGGTATGTATCTTTATATAATTTACCTAAATATCTTTCTTGTCAGAAACGGTCATCCCAACGATTATAATTATGAATAAACTCATATAGAAATACATCATTACTTCAGGACGAAATCGGACAGATTTGCAACAGCCAATCAGCTGTAACTCTTAAGGAGGGGGCGGAGCATCTTTTCTCAGCTGGGAAAAAATGTACTAAAGTCATATTATGGGAGCCCCTACACTTACCGACACCTTTCAAAACATAATATCTTTCAGTGTTAACTACAGTTTCTTACAAACAAATGTTACTGGGGCAGTTACTTGTAATATTTGCTGTTCAATTTTTTAACAATGCACTTATGGTATACAGTATTCATTTAATGCTCAGTAACAGTTGCCCTCTTGAAAAAACAAAACATGGGAGAACTGTTAAAAAGTAAATGTTGGTAGGTTTAACTGACACCGAGGATATAGTTTTCAAATCGCAGTTTAGAGGGTCAAGTTACCTGCCAGTTATAGGCCTAGATCAACCATTTTAGTTGAAATAATTGTGAAATAATTGAAGTCGTCTTATATGCCTGGTCGACTTATAAGCCGCACTATACGGTAGCTGTCTTTGCAAAACTTTTGAGGGGATGGTTCTTGGTAGACTCTTATATAGAGTTGGAGAATACATGTCCCCTAGCATAAGTGGCTTCACCCATGAAAATTTTTACATAATTACTATACCACATTCCTAGCTGCATGGAGATGAAAGGCGCAGATACACCACATTTCTTGACCTAAAAGCTCCATTTGATATTGCCAATAGGCAACTTATATTGTACGAACTAGCCAAATTGGATATAGGAGGTCGGCTATTACATTGGATTAGTGGTTACCTAACCAACAGAAGGGCTGCTTCACAGTATCAGGGTTACAAAGGTGAGGTCAAAGATATGCAACCTGGCACTGCCAAGGTGGAGTACATAGTCCTACTTTGTTCAGTGTTCTTATGAATGCTGTATTAACCCCTTTCTTATAGGCAGAAGTATTTATATAAATGGGTTAATTACATTAGACTTATATACTCTATCACTCTCTGTAACTTTCCACTAGCTATGAGGTAGCATGTTCAGAGCATGTGTTAATGTGTGACTACGGGAAGGCGCGTCACTTAGTGCCGAGCTAAAGCATTAAATAGCTGGCTCTCTGACCACTTAATGCGGGCAGTAGTTTGATATCCTTGACTAGAGGAAGACGTTATTGAGAGCCATCGTGAATGGTTCCGTCTTCCCTCGAGGGAGGATGCCGGATATATTTCCGTTCTCCCTCGACGGGTATTACAGGCACTCTTACTCAACCCCTCACCCCAACAGGACGTGTTTTAGAAGAGCTATTTAACATAGCCTCCATCCTCATTTAACTCTCACAGTTATAGTGATTAAGTTACGGTGATATACACTTGTAACTGTATATATAATATATTTTTTAATAAATAGAAGAAAGACAGTTGGGTTTTGCTACTAAAACCTTATATACTTTGATCTATATTTTAGTTTGTCTAAAATATAAGGTAGCGTGTTTCTCAAGTGATGACAACCCAGGAAGGTTATTACATATATGAGAGTTTCACAAGTAACTGTTATACACACTAACATTCACCTCAACAGATACACAGTTGGTAAAGGTAGAGATATATGTTCTCCCCATTACTGTGTTATACTACTGTAACAAAGAAGTAACCGTTATAATGCACTATTAAAGTCAATCCCAGACAGCCTCAGCCATATTTCTATTAGTTATCTAGATGACATAATTATACATACTAAAACTAATCGTGAAATGCAAACCACCTTGGACCACGTACACTTGCACCAAAAAGTATTGGTGCAGGGTGAGATCGACGACTTCCGAAATGATGCTTATACACTGTGATATGTCGGGAGGGTTGATAAGTGTATCCTCATAACCCCCCCTCACTAGGTGTTGTCATATGGCTGACAGTCAGTGTGTTTGTTTCCTCTTCGGATTGTTGCTTTGTGTCGACTGAATGATGAGTGAGGGTTCGGTCTCGGTGAACGTGGGTATAAAACAGAGGCAATGTGAAGCAGTAGAGATCTACATATACCAGATGACACGGAAACCTCAGAGGGAACACGAGGAGCTATTGTTGCTCTTCATAACGAAGGGTTCGGCGTCACAGATATTAGCTGGTGGGTTGGTGTCCACAGGAACACCGCTGCACGATGGATTCGGCGATACCTCGAAACTGGTGCTACAGACGACAGGTCTCGGAGTGGCCGTCCATGCTGCACCACCCCTCAGGACGACCAGGTTGAGTGGTTTATTTGGTAGCATAAATTAATGTGGCAATATTCACAAGTATCACAAATAATTTTGTTAACAGGGAGCTCCTCATATTTCATACTTTCTATTTATCACTTCCCGACCTTATTTATAACGGTTTGTTTCACTTGACCAGGCCATAGTAGCTGTTCAGCAGGATTACAGGGCTGCCAACATACGGCTGGAGCAACTCGCCTTTCCCAATACCTATCGTCACTGGTCTCAAATTGTTCACACTACAGTATGCACCGATACTTTTTGTTGCGAGTGTACATGCAACCTATTGATAACCTTGATCTCTTCATTTCCACTGAGAAAACTAAGGTATTCAACAGACAAAGGCAGGAAATATGACTGCGGACAACTTCTTATTTCCTGCCTCTGCTGACAGCCAAGTAATAGTTCAGTGTGATTCTGATCTTTTAAAATGTTAGTTTTTGCCTATTGTAGTTTTACTGATATGTAATTTGTCTTAGTATGCCTTATTGTGGGTAAAAATAAGTATATATTAAATGCGTCCTCTTAAAGCGTGAATTTGCTACCAGAGTTTAACAGTTAATTTATGTATAAGATTTCTGATAAACTTCCTACGTGCTCATGTTTGAAATAATGACTGTATGTATCTTTTTATAATTTAGCTAAATATCTTTGTCAGAAACGGTCATCCTAACAATTATGAATATACTCATTTAGAAATACAGTACATCATTACTTCAGGATGAAATCGAACAGATTTGCAACTGCCAATCAGCTGTAACTCTTGAGGAGGGGGTGGGGCATCCCTTCTCAGCTGGGAAAAATGCACTATAGTGCCTGAGGAAATTTCTATGTACCAACCTTGACAAACAATGTACAGTACAGTGATATCCCCGTTAGCCGGAACAATTGGTGCGAAGCACTTCCGGGAATGAGAGATTTCGGGTTAACGAGACGACTCGCTCAAAGCAGGAAAAAATTCCCTCATCCCCGGACTTTCTGCGTAACGTTTAAATGTTCTCGGAAGTTCCAGAAATTGCCCAATACATCATCTCTCAAACCTGGAAAAAAAAAATCCCCCATCCCGGGAATTTTCCAGGTATCGGGAAAATTTTCTCAGAATTTTCCGGAAAATGTGCCCCTCTGAAAATGGTTCCCAAAGCTGGAATTTTCTGGAAAATTCCGCCTTTGGGAATGATTTTCAGAGAAAATTTCAATTCCGGCTATTGGAGAGTTCTGGGTTTGAGGGACTCCGGCTAACAGAGATATTACTGTACTGGGAATACTCGGTAACACTCAATGCCATAATATCCTGAGTGTGGGGTGCACAATAAACTGGCTGTTGTCTGCGGCAAATTTAAAAAATTCAATTCATACTCTGTAATTAATATTTCCACCTATTTATTTATATCCTTTTTAACTGATTGGTGAATGTTGTTTTAATAAAATTATCGTAAAATCAATTGTATTTTTACAAAAATTATAGTACAGTACTGTTCTGAAAATCAATTTCTTACCTTATCCTATGACGATTATGATTGAAGGCGACGCAGCTATGTTGTTGTGTTGTGGACTGGCCTGGCGGGACCACGTGGTGCATTCTACGCCACTCCACAACAATAACAAATGACCCTAACGATTGCCAAGATTTTTTATTTACATGTATTTTTTTTAATAATTTTTTTCCAGGATTCATTTCACATGATAGTATTGTATTGTACTGTATTAGCCAATCGTAGCTCACGAGCACTCTGAGCCTACCCACCCATGCCCTTGGCACATGATGTAATCGGTTGGAAATTCATTTGAATGCCCGGAACGGATAGATGGTATTTCTCGGAATGCAAAAATTTTATTTTCCGGGTAATGGAAGGTTCCAGGGATCAAAGACCGGCTAATGTGGTTATTTATTTCCTACACTTATCTGACTTAATTTTCAGTGAAAAATCAGTTTGGAGTGGTTTAAGCAATGGTAGAGGTCCAGTATATTATTAAGATTAAAGAATTTCATAATTTTCAAATACTTGTTTTCTCCTTTCAGGTTGCCAAATATCCTCATATTGATGATTACCGCCGAACTGTAGTGGAGTTAGATGAGAAGGAATATCTGTCTTTACGTATTACGTTGTCTGAGATCAGGAATCATTATGCTACACTCCATGACATGATCACGAAGAACATGGAGAAGATCAAGAAGCCACGCTCTACCAACTCTATTGAGGCCATGTACTAATATGTCGTCATTACCTATAAACTTTCCTGACCTTCTGTCAATTGTGTAATGTCCAAGAAATATCATATTTCATGTGTAAAAAAAAAGGAAAAAAAAGAAAAAAAAATGAGCACAAGAAATGGTATTACTTTTAAGGGATTCCCTTTTTTATTTTTTATTCAAGGTGTATCAGTTTATAGTTTATGGAGTATTGAACATAAAATATTCCTGTTAACCTTGGGGAAATTTATTTGTAATACCTGTATCTGACTGCATATGATTACGGAAAGTATTATTGCACTGTTATTCATGGAAATTTAAAGAATGAAGCACTGGCATACATGCTCAAATTATTGTTATTCATATTTGTTTGATTTATATCCTATTGTAATATTTGGTATTAGATAAGAGCCATAGCTTCTTGTGGTCGTATGGTACATGTTGTTGGTAAAAGAAAAAATTACATTATTTTTTAATATTTACAAATAAAACTTATCAGTACGTACTGGGCATTACATATAACACATCTATTTACTGTACCCTTCATAAGATTGCAGTCACTACTACAGTATTCACTCATAATTTATTGCATACAGTACTATATCACAGGTAACTGTCTCATTGGGGAAATATGCAACTGCTAGATAGTTTTAATTTGTTTGGAAGTTGAAAATGCTTTGAAAGAATAGCAATTCTATTTTCAACCAGAAAATGCAAATAACCTATAGGAGGTTTTTCTGTATAAAGGTGGCAGCTATATTAAGAATTATTCCTCAGTGAATCAGATTTTTAGCTACCTGGATTATGATACAGTTGTACTGTACAGTAGTTCCTTTATGTGCCACAGCTGGTAGATGTATTATGAAATTTCTTGTAAGAAATGAGCTGTTTTAATAATGATTTCATACAATTTTTTGTTTTATATATAGTATACAGTATATGCAGCAGTAGATTCTCACAGGATTTGCAAGGCATGTCACCTCAGAAAAAAATGTGATTAGCTGACACACACTTCTCTCTGTATTCCATAAGAAAATGGTGCAAATCAGATTCTTATAGAGAGAAACACTGTACTGCACTGTACTGTGTAAGTGACTTTATCCAGCAATGTGATATGTTGTTTCCAGCATTTTTTTTTTTTTTTAGGGGTTTGAGCTACAAAGTAACAACCGCTTGTGTATGGGGTTCCCTGTCTGCTGAATAATATTGTCTGGCGTTAGCCAAATAAAATATTAAAAGTAGTGTCCCTGTAGTGAAGGGGCTTAAAGATTACATTAATTGAATAGGATATTTAAGTTATAAAGAGTATTAGAAATGAATGAACACTTGACTCATATCTGCCTACCCTTCAGAGAAGGGAGGCTTACTGTTATTACCTTTTTTTTTCAAATCTTGTTGCTCTAGACCCTTACCCAGGCCATAACTTCTTGACTGTTACACCTCGAGTCAACGGACTTTGGCCCTTAATAAGTCATGTCTTGAAGATGTCTTATGCTACAACAAGGTTCCTGACCCCCCCCCCTTTATTTTCTTATTTTTTATTTATTTGTTTTTATTCTCCAGTTATCCACTTTTTTTTCCAATTAGGGTCGTCAAAGCAAGTACGTACCTATAACCTTTTATGACCAGATGCCCTTTCAAGAGTGACTCATGTAGCATCCTACTAAGCCTACAAGTTGCGACCCAGGACACTCCCAAAAACAGGTGACTTGAATGAATCCATTGATGAGTTGTACCTTCTTAGTGCAACCATCACCCTTAACAGGGAAGATTAGAAAGAATTTCCCCCTGATGCCGAGGTGTAATAAGTTATGATGTCATATCAACAATTTGAAATCTGCACTTCACTTTACAGGTTGGCCCACAGAGCTTGATTTTAAGACCACCTCACTTCACCCACCATCTTCATTTGTTGTAGAAGATAACCTAAGTGGTGATATGTTGTGGGTGGATGTATCATCCTATAGAAAAGGGCCTAGGTACAGTATAGGCAAACTTAGTAGTTGTTTGTGGCCCAACACCTCAAGACTGGGTAGCCATAGGGAGCAAAGTTACATCCTTTTATTCTTCATCTAGAGCCATCATACTTCTCAGTTTGGTAGAATTGCTTCCCATGGAGGTGTTAGATGAGCCTTACACTTGAACTACCGGTAATTCATACCTCTTGCCTTCCCTTTTGTAGGTGGGCTGTGGTATACAGAGATGTATGATCACAGTGTAAAGTTTTGTAAATGGAGGATTGATCCTGGAATTTTACTTTATAGCTGAGCTGAGATCAACCAATTTGGCTTTCTATCCTTCATTTTGGGTTGTTGAAATGAACTAGAACTGAGTCATTGATATGGTAATATTATTTAATTGCCATGTTAATCGAAGGCTAATTGGAGCGTACTTCTTCAGCTCGTATACAAAATCTCTAACTTCTTTCATGGATACCTTTGTGTCAAATTTCTCTTTGGGATCCTGGCATGAATGGGAAAGATTGTCTTCATTTTCAAATTTGTTCTATGTTGAAATTTTTCTCAACAAATTTGGTCAGGGCCTTGAGGTTTCACCTCTTAGAATTGTCTGACTAAACAGAATTGCTAAATCTGAGCTCTCATCAAATGGAATTTCAGGATCAATTATACACTTGTGTAAGATTGTCTGTGCATAAGACTGTATGTGCAAGTGTGTATGTCAGTGAGAGAATATGTCTGTGCATAAGCTTGTGTAATTCTGTGCGTGGATGTGTGTCTGCATACATGAGTGTGTAATATAGTACAGGTACAGTATTAGCATATTAAAGATTATGTCATCATTACTGTTTTACAGTCATTTTCCATACTTGTGTGGGTTCACCATGATTACCTGATGACAGCTCTCCATGCTGCATGGTCTCTTGCACTCACTTGTAAGGTTCATATATAATGAGATCATTTCTTACATCTTGACATTTTTGGCCTACTCCCTGCTCTCTTTCCCTTTGCATTCAAACTCATGAAATTCTTGACCCACATGGTCTCCCCCATTCTCTCTACATGCCCAAACCATCTTAGCCACCCTCCTAGCTATAAACAGGTTTTCTATCTTTTAGTGATGCAATGCACTTCCATCCTGCCATTTCCATTTAACTTATTCAAGCCTAAAATTGTTATCCTTTTTAATAGAATTTGCAGGAGGGAATATTGAATGTACATACCTCATATAAGCCCCAGTTTGACTGTATATTACATCTTTAATATGAAGCAAACACTGCGATTACCATTGAAGTTGCAACATTCTGCAGTGTGTTATTTATACCACTGCATTGCTTTTGTACTCCCATCTACACTTCCTACACATTATTTAGGTACTGCTGACACCTTTCCTTACAGACGGCACATGGTCATTTTCCACTTCTCACTACAGGTCCTTTACTACTCATGCCACTAATCATAACTTGTTTTTGCCACATTCATTCACAAATCTTTTCAATCCATTCCTTCCCATTTCTAAAATTTATTCACTGCCTCCTTAATACTCTCAACTGTCAACATATAATTACATGTGCAGACCAGTCCTGAAATCTCACAATAGTGCCTCTAATGCCCTGATAAATAGAAGGAGGCTCAAGGCAAACTCTTGATGGACTCCTACTTTCACTTCAAATTCTTCACTCTCCTTACCATTTACTCTCACAGGTTCTTGAGCCCTCATACAAAGCCTTAACCACTCGAACTAGAAACTCCTAATTTTCTCATTGCCCACTATACTACCTCACATGGCACCCTGTCAAATGCCTTCTCTAAGTCTACAAATACAAAATACAGCTTTCCTCATTCCCTAGATATTTTATCTTGTACTGTAGTTACCTGGCCATAAATATTGTCTCTGTGGTCCCCCTGCCTAGTATTAACCCAAACTGTATTTCATTTATGTCCACTCTCCCTTATCAGTTTCTTGATCACTTTCCACAACATGATCTAATAGTTTCAGCCCTCTGTAGTTTCCATGTTCAAATGCATCAACTTTTCCCTTGGAAAGATTGTGTACGTGTATATAAGGGTATGAATATAAGTGTGTGTGCACACAAGATCCCGAGCCATTCCCTTGCATTCTTTCACTGGCTTTTGTCCAATGTTGGATTTATTAATTATGTTGGATAATTGTCTACTACCAGTTTTTACAACATCTATTCCCTCAGTAGGGTTTTGTAGGGGTAGATGCTTTCTCCTGGTATTGAAATAAATACTAAATGTAAAGTCAGCTGTATCAGTTCCCTCTTTTCTCTGAAATTCTGTAAAAATACAAGGAGCTGGATTAGTTTTGGGGGGAACTGTGTTGATTTTTTTTTTTTTTTTTTAATCTAGTAGGATGTAGCACTTTTCTCTTGACTCATTGGTGGCTGGATTGGCATGTTTAAGTCCTGTGGTTTGTCACACAAGTGGGGTAATTCCTTTCTACCTGGTTGCAGAATTATTACCTAATTTTACGGGGAGTGAAAGATGGAAGAGTGCATTACCATCCACAATATTTCCTTACGTAACTAAAGCCATATCCATACTGCCTCTAAGGGATCCTATTTCAAAGCTCATTCAACAGAGTCCAGAGCTTATTTCGATTCCTCTGACTTTGAATAAAAGAGTGGGAATAGAATTTTTTTTTCCATGTTCTTATTTTACACAACCTGCCTGTGTGAATTTTCTAGATAATGTTCCCTGCTTAGTACTGTAGTAGTGTAGCCCAAGCTTGATATTTGGGAGATCTTCATGAAAGAGTTGCCTCATTAAATTCCATCTTTGATATATTACAAACACTTGATGGCTCAGGATTTTTAAGTTGGAACTACCAACACACTGACTTGCTTAGTGAAGCTCATAACTGGAGGCATTACATGCTGAAAGATATTGGCGTGGGTCATGTTATGGCCATTCCACAGGCCTCTGGGACATCAGCTAGACATTGGTTATCCCAACTTCCAAGATGACACTAGAGAATTACGTAGCAATGAGGAGTTTGTAAGGTTAGTTCCGATGACTTTTTATTGCTCTGAAGTAGGGTCAACTTTCCTGTTAGAATGCATGTCGCAATAAGTTGGAGCTTTTATTTTTCCCCTCCTCATTTTCTAGCTGATTTTGCTACATGAGTTGCACGTGAAGGGTGGCTGATTATAAATGGAGGACTAATCCTGAAATCCCGGTTAATGATATAAGCCAGGAAAGAGTGACTTGAATCCTTCCTTCCTCCCTGGGGAGTCTTTGGAAGCTGGCTGGAAGGAAGGTGTTGCTGCATTCATGCTCTGGCTGAACCTGTCAACTGTAGAACAAATTTTACACTGCAGTATTGGTGAAACATCCCAGTTTGTTACCCTTCAGCCTTAAGTGGTTACTTCTTTTTTCA